AAAAAGCAATCCTCAACTGAATCAAGAAAGTCACTAGACTCAAGATTTCCTGTCAAATTGTTCCAATCAATTCGTCTAAAGTTAAAATCCCCCATTAACACGACATTTTCATGTCTAGACGCTTTATGAATATCGTCCCATAACAGCTTACTGCAATCTGTATCAAGGTTTGGGGGCCTATAAATCACACCTAAAATTAAATTTTCACAACCCTCGAGAAACTGTAGCCAAACACATTCTGTGTTCGATGTTTTTATTCTTATTTCTGACACATCTCCACTCCACCACCCTTCCTGTTGACCCTATCAGTGTGGAATAGTTGATAACCCTTTATGCTGCATTCAGAAGGCATTTTTCTATCCTTCAAGTTGAACCAGGCGTCAGTTATAGCAATAATATCTATATTACCTGCACTTGCAAGTAATCTTAGCTCATCTATCTTATTTCTTAGACTTCTACTATTTGTATAGTAAACCTTAAGAGAGCTAGTCACTCGTTGCGCTCTACTACCTCTCTTTGTTTGTTGATCAGTTGCTTTGTCTTCATTAGGAACTTTATTTTGAATATTGTCTTTTAAACATATCCCTGAGGTATCATGGTACTATCTGCTGTTTCCAACAATAATACTGCAGCCTGATTGTTTCCCACAAGCACCCATACCTCTATAATCTACCAGTTTAAAGTCCTAGACAAGTCATCAATTACCCCCTCAATCTAATTGGCTAATGCAACCACTCCAGCCCCAGAGACATGAACACCATCCCTTGTATACGAATCATGTTTGCCATAGAATTTGTCCCAGTAATCAGTAAATGGATTTGCAAGTTCCTTGCAGTAACTGTCTAGCCAGCAATTTATACCAATTGCCCTAGATACCATTCATTGCCTACTCTCCTTCTAGGCAAGATGCTATATATGATAGGGATCCGTCCCTTAGACCTGACTATTTCTATGGTTGACCTGCACTTATCCAGTAGTTCCTGTCTCCTGCCCATCCCAATGTCATTTCCACCAGCACTAAGACAGATATTGGGCTTGTTCCCATTGCCTGATATGATAGTATCCAACCTGCTGACTATATCACCAACTCCAGCTCCTGGGTGGCACACCCTCTGTCTGACTTTTCTATCTCAGTTACAAAAAGCACTGTTCATGTATCTTACCTGAGAGTCCCCCACAATCAGAATGTTCTCACCTTGATTAGCAGGGGAGTCAGAGGTACCTTTAACCTCACTAACCACTGAAGCACACTCGTCCTGGAGAACACAGAATCGATTTCCTACCTTCACATCTTTATTAACCCTCCTTATCTTCCTTCTTCCTGATCTGTGAACCACTTGCCACTTAAAGCAGCTGCCACTCTCACTTGTCATAAGCATTTCCTCATTACCAGCACCAACTAAGAGAACCCTTGCTACAGCTTGATGCCCAGCCTTGAGGGAGCCCCCGATCACTAGCAGCCAACAATGCCCACAACACAGGAAACTGCCCCAATGGGATCACCATCTATCCTTGGAAGAATGGCAAGTTCTTAGCATGGGACTATACCTGTGTGTCCATACTGGCTGACGCCTATATCCATCACAGTGTGGGGCGACAGGGAGGAGCTGCTGTCCACAGGGAGGAGTACAAGATCAGCAAGTACAGGGACATAATCGAACAGTTTCAATTTATCCCAGTGGGATCAGAGACCTCGGGATCATAGGGAAAAATTGTCACACGTTTCCTTAAAGAAATGGGTTCCAGACTCATCGACACCACCAGGGACCCAAGGGCGGCCACTTTCATGTTCCAGCACATCAGCATGACCATCCAAAGGGGAAACGCATGCTCCATACTGGGCTCGAGTCCGGCTTCGGAAGAGCTGGAGGAGATTCATAACCTTTCATATATTGTTCCAATGTATTCATGTCTGTGTTTTCTATCAATGTATTCTGTCTATTAATAAAGTACATATATAACATATAAATTATAGGGTGTAGCAGGAAGAAAATATTCAAACAGCTCCAAGGAGAACCTTGAGTTTTCTCTGAGGTACGTTTATTGTCCTCTCTGAGGATGAGGGTCCCCAGTAAAGTTCTAGAGGTATATATAAATATATATATATAATATATATATATATATATATATAATATATATATATATATATATATATATATATATATATAATATATAAATATATATATATATATATATATATATATATATATATATATATATATGTCCGTAACCATCCTCTTTAATTTTCAATCATTTTCTTTCACTACACTATAACTCACAGACACCATCGTCCTTACAAGTAATATTTTATACTATTTACTACTAAATAACGATAAGACATCAGCAGAGCTTTCATCATGTGCACATGTATAAAACAATGGTACAGACTTTTATTAATTAATGCGCACGTTACTGCACGTACGTGTTCTCTCTTCCTGTTATATGTGTGACCTCTTAACAAATAAAGTATGATAATAGATCCCTAATTATTATTACTATTATTATTAAGTTTCCAACTTGGCCCTATACAACAATATCTCACTCATTTTCACATTTAGGTTCTCACTAGCAAATTGTTCTTCTATTTGGCTTAGATATTTTAAATATTCACTTATTTCAAACATTTCAAACATTCACTTATTTTAAATATTTTAAAGATTCACTTATTTCAAATATTTTAAACATTCACTTATTTTAAATATTTTAAAGATTTACTTATTTCAAATATTTTAAACATTCACTTATTTTAAATATTTTAAAGATTCACTTATTTCAAATATTTTAAGCATTCACTTATTTCAAAGTGAAATATGGAGTTCTGGTTAGCAGTAATCTATAACCAAGACAACAGTGCATTAGTGTTCGCAATAAAGCTAACAGAATTCTTGGCTTCATATCTAGAAGTATAAATAATAGAAGTCCTCAGGTTGTTCTTCAACTCTATATATCCTTGGTTAGGCCTCATTTAGACTATGCTGCTCAGTTCTGGTCACAGTATTACAGAAAGGTTATAAATGCTCTGGAAAACGTACAGAGGAGGATGACAAAGTTGATCCCATGTATCAGAAATCTTCCCCATGAGGGATAGACTGAGGCCCTGAATCTGCACTCTCTAGAAAGGCGTAGAATTAGGGGGGATATGATCGAGGTGTATAAATGGAAAACAGGAATAAATAAAGGGGATGTAAATAGCGTGCTGAAAATTTCCAGCCAAGACAGGACTCACAGCAATGGTTTCAAGTTGGAAAAATTCAGATTCATGAAGGATATAGGAAAGCACTGGTTTGGTAATAGAGTTGTGGATGAGTGGAACAAACTCCCGAGTACAGTTATTGAGGCTAAAACGTTGTGTAGTTTTAAAAATAGGTTAGATAAATACATAAGTTGATGTGAGTTAGACCTGGCTAGCTTGTGCTGCTGGGTCTGGTGCCGTTCTCCTTCCTTGAGTGGAGGTGACCAGCCTGGGTGGGTCATTGGGCTAATCCGGGGGGGACATGGACATGCTCCGCATGGGTCAGTAGGCCTCCTGCTGTGTTCCTTCTTTCTTATGTTCTTATTTCAAATATTTTAAACATTGAGGGAGTCTATATATTGTACACTTCCCTCACTTACAGTCACGTAAACATTAGTTATAAATATTATCTCAGTTCACTTCAATTTTGATCCACTATTTTTTATTGAAAACTTTTATTTTCCTCATTTTTTTCCTCAACTGTTTATTTATTATTACTGCTACTCTTTATCTCTGGTTCTATAAGATACAACTAATTGTATACTTCATTCACTCGCACTTTTATTTATTCCTTGAGGTTTTTATTTTTTCCGGCTGAAGCCCTGTTTCATGTAGTCTTTTTAAATGTAACAAACCACTTAATATTTGTATTTATAACTCATTTATAACTACTACTACTACTACTACTGCTACTACTACTACTACTACTACTACTACTACTACCTCCACCTCTTCCTGCCTATATATAGCCGGCCTGCTCCACCTCTGTTAGTGTGACTTTGTCAATGGTCCAAGTCGGATCGAAACGTCGTCGTAAGCTTCTCTCTTTTATGTGCGGGTTATTTGTGTATCGTTCCAGTCACGGTATTGTGCCTTTTTGTTATTTATTTATTTATAACTCATTACAAGTGTGACCAGGTGTGGACGTGTCAGTGGCTCGTTAATTTGTAATTTGTTCATGATTGTAACCATGTATAGGAGTGAGGATGATTCATTACCTTTGTAAATTGTCATGATTGTGACTAGATCTACCTGGAGTTCATTATCATTGTAACTAGTTCAGCTATCATAAGTTTGAGGTCCAGTCATTGGACCCATTATGTTCCTCTGTAATCTTTTGACTACCGCCCACACCATGGGTATGTGCTGCATAATAAACATATTATACTAACTGTAGCATTAAAGGTTACGGGGTTTTTTCCTTAAATTAGACATCAATGGATAGATGGACGTATCATTAAAGATTACAAGGTTTTCCCTTAAATTAGACATCAATGGATAGATGGATGTAGCATTAAAGATTACAAGGTTTTTTCCTTAAATTAGACATCAATGGATAGATAGATGTAGCATTAAAGATTACGGGTTTTTTTCCTTAAATTAGACATCAATGGATAGATAGATGTAGCATTAAAGATTACGGGTTTTTTTCCTTAAATTAGACATCAATGGATAGAGAGATGTAGCATTAAAGATTACAAGGTTATTTCCTTAAATTAGACATCAATGGATAGATGGATGTAGCATTAAAGATTACGAGGTTTTCCCTTAATTTAGACATCAATGGATAGATGGATGTAGCATTAAAGATTACGAGGTTTTCCCTTAATTTAGACATCAATGGATAGAGAGATGTAGCATTAAAGATTGCAAAGTTATTTCCTTAATTAGGATACACTTATTGACAAACATTAGTTAGCTTGTATAACTGCTGAAAATTTACATACAGCATTTTAATTTCAATGTTTTAATTGGGTGATAATACGAGCAGCTTGAGACGTAAGGTGTCAGCAGTGAAGACATGAGAGTGTTGGAGTTAGTGGCTGTAGTTGTTACCGCTAATGTCTGCTGTCTTCTCGCCTTCCCTTTACTACCCAGGTTAGTCAACTCACTCATAACAAAAGCAGTAGTTAATGAAAGCGATCATCTTAAAAATTAGTGATATTTTTTTTATTCAGTGCTGTTCTTACGATCAATTAACCCGAAAATTTTCAGGTCCATTTTTTAGACCTGATAATGAAAACAGCTTTTTTAAAACATTGTTGCGAACCAAAGTTATCCACATTTTTCAGGAAGAAATCTAAATATTCTTCCTTGAAGCCTTTTTATCCACTTCTCCGAGGGTGTGGGTCCCAGAATTTACACCAGAGGTGGACCCCGTATTTATATATATATATATATATATATATATATATATATATATATATATATATATATATATATATATATATATATATATATAAATATATATATATATATATATGTATATATATATATATATTATATATATATATGTCGTGCCGAATAGGCAAAACTTGCGATCTTGGCTTAAATAGCAACGCTCATCTTGCCATATAGGACAAGCGAAAATTTCTGCATGCAATAATTTCTCCAAAATCATTCTGAACCTAACGAAAAAAATATATTTGATTGTGTTTGTTTAGTATTAAATTATTGTAAGCAAATATAAAATATATTTAGTTGGGTTAGGCTAAAATAAATTGTTCTTGTTATAATAAGGTTAGGTAAGTTTTCTAAAATTCTTTTGGTGCAAAATTATAAATTTTTACATTAACATTAATGAAAAAATATATATTTAAACGTATAAGAGAAAATTTTAGAAAGGGCTTAATTTTAAATGAGTTCTTGCTAATTGACCAATTTTACATATTCGCACGACATATATATATATATATATATATATATATATATATATATATATATATATATATATATATATATATATATATATATATATATATCTTGTCTCTACGTCCACAGCAGGATTCGAACCTGCTAACTTTGTATCAGAGTCCACAGTACTTTACCACGCAACTAGACCTGGATAAGTATGGGCGCTTAGCCAAAGCTAAGCGATGTTTCCCACATACCCCCTGTTTGCAAATTGTTAAGCATTTCAAATCTCTTTCGCTGTCCACTACACGTAGCTGGATTCGATGAAATAACTTTCAAAACGAGCTTGGTGCCCGGGGGTATGGGGAATCATCGCATAGCTTCGGCTAAGCGCCAATACTTATCGCAGGTCTAGTCGTCTCGTGGTAAAGTACTGTGGACTCTGATACAGAGCTAGCAGGTTTGAGTCCTGCTGAGGACGTAGAGACAGTGTTTGTAAATAATTTCGCCTGTTTGCGAATTGTTGAGGAGCTCTCAGTGCAAGGAGGCAGACTCTATCCCATCACACTGTGAAGCATTGTTGTTGCCATATTCTCCACTACTGGGGCATCCCAATATAACTGTGGTTATTGGGGTGAGCTCGTCTGGTTTCAGAGCCCGTTAGATTATCCAAAAGTGTGGTTCCGTCAAAGAACTTTTGGGCATGGACTCCAACCTTGTCCCTAAGATATTCAGGTAGAATCGCTGCTACAAGTCCACTGGATGCAGCACATCAGGAGAGGAGAGTAGTTAGTCCAATCTGTGATGCCCTGCAGACACCAATGCCTCCCAGTCTGAGTGGAAGTGTACCTTGGTCCCACTTCCCATCTTCCAGAGTAAAGGTGAGTACTTTCGTAAAAATATGCCTCAGGATACTGTCATATTTATGCAGTATAAGGTTATTATATGAGAGTTCACATATTAGGAAATATGTTAACTTGGGCAGAATCAAACACTTGTGAGATGGTACAAGGCATCGTGGGTGTCAAGACTGCCTATTCGTTGTTTCATTCTCCTCAACTCATCTAGTTTCTTTCTGAGAATTGAGTCAATGGCATCACTTCCCGGAGGCGCTCCAAGCAAGACGCTATTTGTGGAGTCAATGACTGATGCACCTGGTAATTTTGATCTCACTGTGTCAATCATTTTCTCATTGACTGAGATGATTTCACGTTCAGAAAGATTCAGGATGTCCTTATGTCATCACCTCTGTAAGATCAACTAGATGAGATTCCTTTGTGATGAATGGTTTGAAAAACCGACAAGTTGAAGATTGAGACACTTATGCAACATATGGGAATCTTTATTCAGGAAACGTTTCGCCACACAGTGGCTTCATCAGTCCGATACAAAGTAGAAAGGCGTAAGGAGAGGAGGAGCTTGAGGTAATCAGTCCCTCAGCCTGGAGTCGATGTGTTCAGTCCATCAATCTTGTAGAATGTACAGCATAGGGCCGTAGACGTGGCTTATATACTGTAGTGAGGTGAGGCGAAGCAGGAGGAGGTGAGGTCATAGTGGTACCATCCACTAGTCGAAGTAGGTCTTCGTCCAAAGGTTGAACAAGTGTTGAAGAATTCTTTGTAACAAGATCCCATGATGCTGCAGTGTCACTACAGTATATAAGCCACGTCTACGGCCCTATGCTGTACATTCTACAAGATTGATGGACTGAACACATCGACTCCAGGCTGAGGGACTGATTACCTCAAGCTCCTCCTCTCCTTACGCCTTTCTACTTTGTATCGGACTGATGAAGCCACTGTGTGGCGAAACGTTTCCTGAATAAAGATTCCCATATGTTGCATAAGTGTCTCAATCTTCAGATTCCTTTGTACCCGCTAGTGTGCCATCATCCCTGAACCAGAAGTTTGGTTCACTGATCAGCCTGACTGTTATTTCCCTAACAGCTATACAGAAGAAAATTAGTGCGAGAGGATCAGCTTTCTGGACACCCATTGATGAAGTAATTTCGTGCTCTGCAAACAGGAGCATTGATTCCTTGCTACATTCAGCTGAAACAAAAGGGAAGAGACCTGGGGAATTTTCTTGTACAGCTGTTAATACCACATATCTTTTCAGGAGATTAAATGCATTCTTGAAATCTAATTTTACCACTGCGTTGTCCTCAGGCAGGTTGTTGATATACGTTCTTGTTGTATGAACCGCTGCTTCACTTCCTTGAGAGACCCTAAAGTCAAGCTGGTTTGGTTGAAGCATCATGGCTGCCTCTGTGCAAATACTTCGAACAGCAACTTTGGAAATGAGACAGCGAAAAGTATTTCCCACAGCAGTTGGCCTAATTCCTCCAACTTTATTTTTAAGGACACAGGGTGATACCAAAAAAAAACAGAAAGGTTTAATTTCATCAAGAATCAGACGAGCCTAAATGTTGTTAACGATCCTTGTGATATCTGAAAGCAGTGTCTCTGCAAGCTCCCCGTGAACTTGATTAAGCATTTCTTTCAAATGCTGTGGTCTTATTCCATAAGAACATAAGAACATAAGATAGAAGGAACGCTGCAACAGGCCTATTGATCCATGTGGAGCAGGTCCATGTCCCCCCCCCGGATTAGACCAATCACCCCCCCCCCCCGGATTAGCCCAATGACCCACCCAGTCTGATCATCCCCACTCAAGGAAGGAGCACGGCACCAGACCCAGCAGCACAACCTAGTCAGGTCCAACTCACATCCACCAACACCCACTAATGTATTTATCAAACCTATTTTTAAAACTACACAACGTTTTAGCCTGAATAACTGTACTCGGGAGTTTGTTCCACTCATCCACAACTCTATTACCAAACCAGTGCTTTCCTATATCCATTCTGAATCCGAAATTTTCCAACTTAATACCATTGCTGCGAGTCCTGTCTTGGCTGGAAATTTTCAGCACACTATTTACATCCCCTTTATTTATTCCTGTTTTCCATTTATACACCTCTATCATATCCCTCCTAATTCTATGCCTTTCTAGAGAGTGCAGATTCAGGGCCCTCAGTCTATCCTCACAGGGAAGATTTCTGATACATGGGATCATCTTTGTCATACTCCTCTGTACGTTTTCCAGAGCATTTATATCCATTCTGTAATACGGTGACCAGAACTGAGCAGCATTGTCTAAATGAGGCTTAACCAAGGATATACAGAGTTGAAGAACAACCTGAGGACTTCTATTATTTATACTTCTAGATATGAAGCCAAGAATTCTGTTAGCTTTATTGCGAACACTAATGCACTGTTGTCTTGGTTTTAGATTACTGCTAACCAGAACTCCTAAATCCTTTTCGCAATCAGTAGTATTAAGATCTACATTATTTAGTTTATATGTTGCATGATTATTTAGCTGTCCAACATTTAGAACTTTGCATTTGTCAATATTAAACTGCATCTGCCACTTCTCCGACCATTGCATCAGTCTATTCAAATCATCCTGGAGTGCTCTAGTGTCCTCATTAGAATGAATTGGATGGCCTATTTTGGTGTCATCAGCAGGATGTACATGTTTATAGAGGGGCCACAGATATATCAGATCACTTTCTAGTTGTAGCTACACTGAGAATAAAAGGTAGATGGGATACAAGGAGAATAGAAGCATCAGGGAAGAGAGAGGTGAAGGTTTATAAACTAAAAGAGGAGACAGTTAGGGTAAGATATAAACAGCTATTGGAGGATAGATGGGCTAATGAGAGCATAGGAAATGGGGTCGAAGAGGTATGGGGTAGGTTTAAAAATGTAGTGTTAGAGTGTTCAGCAGAAGTTTGTGGTTACAGGAAAGCGGGTGCGGGAGGGGAGAGGAGCGATTGGTGGAATGATAATGTAAAGAGAGTAGTAAGGGAGAAAAAGTAAGCATATGAGAAGTTTTTACAAAGTAGAAGTGATGCAAGGAGGGAAGAGTATATGGAGAAAAAGAGAGAGGTTAAGAGAGTGGTGAAGGAATGTCAAAAGAGAGTAAATGAGAGAGTGGGTGAGATGTTATCAACAAATTTTGTTGAAAATAAGAAAAAGTTTGGGAGTGAGATTAACAAGTTAAGGAAGCCTAGAGAACAAATGGATTTGTCAGTTAAAAATAGGAGAAGAGAGTTATTAAATGGAGAGTTAGAGGTATTGGGAAGATGGAGGGAATATTTTGAGGAATTGTTAAATGTTGATTTCGTGTATAGGACAAGGAGGAACAACATCTTGCAGGAGTGAGGAAGAGCCAGT